ACACACACACACACACACACACACACACACACACACACACACACGCAAACACAAACACGCCCACAAGTTGCAACTAGTTATCACCACTGGACAAACAGTGACCAGTCTCGCGTGTGCCATAGTTGTGTCTCCAAGCTCTCCCATTCTGACTTGCAGCACGTCCCTCCATGGGGCAAAGGGCAGTTTATAAACACTCAGACCACCCATAGATTGAGAAAAACAAAAATACCCCTCCCCCAAAGTAGATTCATGTTCAGTACAATGATGTAAATGACTATGTATCCATTTATCTATTTTGGGAATTGCATTGTGTAGTATATATTATTTTATTACGTATTTGTATGTGCTCATTTCGTAACGATGTGTCCAAGCATGCGGGTGTGATAAGCAAGTAGGTGTGTGTGTGTGTGTATTGTGTGTGCACATGTGTGTGTGAATATTGTTCGTACATGCATTTATGTAAAGCGCCTAGAGCTGTATTCACACAGGAAGGGATGCTATAGAAATGATCTACATTATTATTATTATTATATATAGTAAAAAACAAAAACACCCAAGTCTTTTCGCCATCGGGTAGATCAATGTGAATATATAAACAGTATTTTTCAGAAAGCTTCCGGCATGGTCACAAGCCTCCATAATTAGTCAGATGACAAAACTTTTGTTATCATGTCAGACGACTAAACTTTTGTCATCCTGTCAGACAACTAAACTTTTGCTATCATCACGTCACCTTTTCATAGTTGTCGGGCCCCGCCTCCAGCAGTTGTTGCAGACGCGAGAACTGCTCCGCCGTGGCCTGCTCTTTGTACATGTAGAGTGGAGCAGACGTCAGACTCAGGCTGGACAGCTCGTCTCGCCGCAGGAACGGCAGGAGATCAGAACACAGCTGTGGCGATGAAAAACATAGTGGAATTAATTAATGTATTAATTTAAATAGTGCTGTCAAAAATTCGGGGGTGCAACTTATTTCGAATTAAACGGGTAAATCATCGGCAGTCATACTTTGCTCAGCAGTTTGTATCAATTTGTCTTAACTTAATCATATTTTTCCACAACAATTGAGGCTAAATCTTTGACAAAAACTTTTCTTCATAAATGTATATAAAAGTACTATAAATCTCCAGTCTATCATGCGGAAAATGGGATTGTTCACAGCACTTCGCGCTTCTTGCACACATTTTGTATACTCACTCATAAGGCCTACGTCACAGCTTACCAATGGCCTGTTTTATCAGCAAAACTTGTTATAAGAAATTAATTTTACAGTGAATACATTTTTTTGCTCTAAAGGTTCTCAAAACATGTGTTCAATAACTTGTCAATAAGCATAAAGTCGCGATTAAAAAACAATGATGGACTTGCTTTTAAAAGCGATATTGCCCAAGCTGTACACTTTTTAAAAGCTGTAGAAACCACCGACTTGGTTTTAAAAATTGTATTTATTAAGGAATTTTCTAGAATACAGTGTACAGGTGTTCGAAAATATATCAGTCAAGACAAATTGATATAAGTAATTCTGCAAACGTTGGTGAATCTACTTTCGATAGTTAAGGAGACGTTTGACAACAAGTTACGCCACGAAATTTTGACCGCAGTGTGACCAGAAGCTGTTCAGTCTAATTTCAATTTTCAAGACGGTGAGGGTTTTTGTTTGTTTTTTGTTTAGATTATTAATGATCAACCCACTGCAGGCCACATTCATTATTCATTACATGTTCTGGGCAGGACAGAAATTGCCCACGGTCCATAGATCTAGATCTAGTTTGCCAAGGCCTGGTGTAGAGAGATCGTTCAAATTGCGAAGAAAAAAAATCGGTTAATCTTCTTTCGGTTTATCACTGTTTTTGGAAGTATCGTGTCCGTTTTAGTAAGAGTTTTACGGCACTTGCAACACAATAAGGTCGTATAAGTGCCGAAGAATAGATGTGTTACAAGAGAGAAACATACACACAAAAAAAAGAAGGAGGTGAGAAAAGGACGATATAATAATTATGTTTGATAGGAAAGAAGGAGCAAACCACACCACAGCACCCGCCAACCACCCACCTTTTTGTTTGAGTAAAGAGAAGCGCATCGACACAGTGATGGTTATTTAACTGGGGGGGGGGGGAGGGGAAGGTTAAGACAGGCAGATAGACGGAGACAAGACAACCCGCTGTTACTTCCTACAGTGCTGGGCGGCTATAAGGTTTCCGACTGTTTAAAGCTAGGAATCGTTGGAATCGACTCCGAGCCCAATTACTTTCTTTCTAATGATGTGATTTCTTCCGGTGGTTACCTGGTTGGCACCGAACATCTTCAGGATGTATGATAACCTTCATTTCGAAGAAAAAAAAAGAAGAACATTTAAATGATTGCAGTAAGTGGTAACCTTTGGTTTATGTGAAAAGGAGTCGGAACTTTTCTTCCGTAGCATTAATCGTAGGAATCGGTTCCTGAATTGATTCCTCGCCCAGCTCTACTTCCTATACAAGTCAAAAGATTGACACGCATTGCACAAGCGCATGTGTTTTTAAGTGTGTGTGTGTGTGTGTGTGTGTGTGTGTGTGTATGTGCGGGTGTTTTTTAATTTTTTAATTATTTTTTTTAGTAGAGGGTTTTACGGCGCCCGCAACTGCATAAGGTCATATGAACGCCAGAAGATTAGAGGTGTTACAAGAGAGTAACAAAC